GCCGAAACATGTTACAAAATTGGAAAGAAATTATGAAAAACAAAAAGACATTCTGAAGTATTTTGATAGTCCCTTTTAGTGTATAAGATATACTTGCAGTGTCTTAATGACATTTTATGATATTGAATTACATTTTAAAGAATTAAAGTTACACTTTTAGTAAAAAAATATATATTTTAGGTGTCTTTTATATCATTGTTTCATTACTGACGGTGTACTTGAATAATAAGAACGATACCTCAATACAACAGGATGCTGAAATATAATAAACTAACATTTTAGTGAATTTACATTTAGAATGACAATGTTTAAGAATTCAAATGAAGGGCATCTGTACCATTCTTATTCACTTATAAGCAAGATCCGTGGGTAAGAATGGTGTCATGCTGGGTTACATGCTACAGGCCTCTAGTTGGAAAGTACTGATATAATATCAAAACATGGAATGATACTCCAATGGATGTATTCAACTCTCATATTCCAGTGAAGGTAACAAACTGCTTGCACTACTTGCCAAAGGCAATAATTGTTAACTTCAACATTCTACCACCTCGTTTCGAGATTACATACAGTTCTACCACAATCAACTTGCACCATTTAATAATTTACACCAGGTGGCAAAAAGGGGGATGTTTAAAAATTATAAAAATGAATAGTTCTACAAGAAACTCGCATATGATTTGTAGAACATACCTAGATATTTGCCCCAAATGACTTTTTTAATTGACTGATTTGTTGCACAAAAAAATATTTTCCATTTGAATGTTACAAATAGCATTTTATTTATAATACAGTCACATCTCTATCAGTACCAATGTGGAATGACAGCACAGTTTTCTTGGATTATGGGTTGAATTTGTCATTTCCATTGGTTGATGGCTCATCAAATGCTATCTTGTGAAATCAGCAGCCATATGTTTTCAGTTCTTTGCCGCAGTAACTGCATGAACTGAAACAGCTCTCTTTGCTTTTTGTATATCAACTGTCTAAGTTTGTTCCATACATGGCTATCTCACAAGTAAAAAAATCTGGTGAATTTCACAACCATTCTCTGGATCTGAAATGTTAAAATGTAATGTCATTTGACACTTTCAATGAACAGATAACATGAATTTAAAAAGGTCTACTTTTAATATTCAAAATGGGAAACATTATTCTGTGCAATAAATCAACCAAGCTGAATAAAGCAGGTATGTTCTGCAAAACCTATAGAAGTTTCATTCAAATCTGAAGAGCCATTCATTTTCACCATTAAAAAAATATTTTTTAGCCACCCAATACAACAGTTTCTGTATTGGAAGTAAATTTACATGTTACTCTTGTAAAAATATGTATAACATCTGATCTGTGGAAAAAAGGATTTAATATAACATGGACACACAATTTTTATCATTGGTATGTACCCCGTGGGTAACATTTCACTAGGGCCCAACTGCAATTACACAAAACACAGGAATGTTGGTATTCAAAGTTCTGACTCTTACTGAAGTTGTTCATTTCTGTCTTTCCTTTTATTGCATCAAATGTGTGAATTTTCATAAACTTCAAGAAACTGTCAGTCTATACACATCCACTGTTTCAAAATCTGCATAGCTTTCAGAGCATTAGGATCATACATTTAACTAAACCATATTTATTTGTTTTTGTATATTTTGTATTTAATTTTAAAATATTTCCTACTGTTTAAATTGCTAATAATTCATTACTATTATCCAAAACAATAAACTGTACTCACCACCAAAGAGCACAAGTCTTTCTGAAATGAGGGAATGAACAATCCACTATAACCTCAGGAATCTAAATTTACTATGTATATTGCAATACCAATTATAGCGCTGAATTCTTTGGTTCCAGTTGGACACTACTAACACATCATCATATTTAAAACTATGGTAGCTGCATAAAATCTAACAGTCCCTTAAAGCACCAAACAAAATTGCAGTGACACAAACAATCCTTTAAGATTATCTTGTACATTGGTACACAAATGAAATACCCACAACTTACAACATGTGGTATACCGGGTGGGTGCTTACCAAGTGCATATGATGTGCCCTTAATGTGTATGATCTTTCACTCCTTATTGCTACCAAAGTTCCTGTAAAACATCTTCATTTGGAAATTCCTGGTTTGAGTGACGAGGATTGAATGGACATGATGGCCTTTGTAACACCTCTGCCATAAGAAACAATGCTGTACAGTGTTCAAAGTACTTAGCTACCAGTCTGTACTGGAGGGCGCTGCATACCATATTTACTCAAATATAAGACACTCTTTTTTGGGGGGGAAAAATGAAAATAGGCTTATGAGATCACCTTGCTATGTGTGTGTGTCTGCATGTATATCCCCCGTCCTTATTGTTGCTAGACAACAGCAACAAATACAAATGCAACAACAGAAGAATTGTTGGATGCATCGTTGACCTATCAAAGGAAAGTTGTTTGTTTTTTCATGCTTGGACATCTGAAAAAAACAAGTATCATCTTACATTCACATACTTAGAAAATACTCTGCTAGAGTCACCTGCAGTCTCTGTAGGTAATGATTTTAGGGTGGGTAATGTGACTAGTTCATAGCCTCCTGCCTGTTTCAACCCAAGGTGAATGAAAGGTGTTTACTGTTAGCTCTAGTATGTGAAACCAATGCTGCAGTGCACAGTGTTGGCAGCAGTCTGGAAGTCAAAGCTTTAACACATCTACACAGTACATTTGCTCACATCTGTGTGACAGGAAGAAAGTAGAACAGCACAGCATAAATAATGGGTGATCATGCTGAAAACAGAGGCTCTATAGGGTCAAAGATATCAAACAATGTGCATCACAGCCATGATCTAAACTTACATTTAATGGCTGCAAACACATGGAAGAAATCAATAACTGTATTGCAGCACGAAAATGTAGCATTACTGAAGTACAGGTCTGACAGGAGGAAATCAAAAGGACAATTAAAGTGTGCAAATTCTGCATGAAAAATATACTGAGTAGCCAAACAAGCACAATACAATGATCCAGAAGAAAAGTGGTCCAGTATTTTAACTCCAGAATGCAGACCCTTAGTGAAATAGAAAACCTGGCCAATTCTAACATTGATAACGATATATTTCCTAAGAAAATAAATATTTTAAGAGGGAGTTGTCTTATATTCAAGTAAATACAGTACAAGTATGTTGAATCTGTATTCTTTCACCATTTTTTCATATTGTACAGCCATTAGGTGATACAAGTGGGAATGCTAGATACAGAGAAGGGTGTGGATACTGTCCAGAATGTAATCCACAATTTCACTCTGTAGATTTTCCTACATTCCTTTGAAGTGAGTTCATCAACAATGTTTTTTCTCAGGATATATTAATGAGGTACATAACAAAAGAGTGAAGCAGAATCACTACAAAGAAAACGAAATTGCAATCAGAAAGAAAAAAACAACAAAAACAATTACAAATGATCAGCAGACTTAAATTATCATAATATAACTACAGTAGTGTATTCTGAGAACTTCTTGATTAACGTCTTCACACAATACTGAAGATATAACTCCTAAGCCCTTCCTTGGGAAATGTTTCTGATGCACACATTAATACATTATCTTGGCTAACAATGACTGTTCTAGGCACCTATGGGACAAAGCTATGTTTTGTACGTGTAGTCACCAACACAGAACAGCAGTGCATGCTTGCTAATAAGTATGTGGGTCACACAGTAAATTACACAAGCTAGTAGATATCAGCACACACACAGAGACTGTTTACATCACCCCTTGCACCAACAAATATGCTGTACCATCAACATATTCTGCACAATTTTAACAGACTCCTGAAATTGTTCCATACCATGACATAATGCAACATAACAGGAGTTCTAATTAGTCTATAAAATGTGCTATGGTTGACTCAAAATACCGTGATGTTCACACCATGGAACAGTGAAAGCTTGCTGCAGTTTAAATATTCTGATTACAACTTATGTTACTTGTATAATCACCTTTCATGTTTCATATGGCATAATTAAAGAAAATATAAGAAATGAGACCAAGTGTTTTCAAGTGGAAGCTTTGAAGATCCAGTTACTGGACATATATTCTCAGTTAGCTTGACAGTAGAGCAGAGATATTAAAAAATATAAAATGAGGTCTAATCATAGGGAGAAACACAGAGAAGGAGCACCAAAAACACACAAAAAGGGAACAATCTAACAGTCTGTTTCAGAGGAAAATCTCTCCAGAATGAGATTCAATCTCAATACAACATGGATATAAGAGAGACTGGACATAATGTCTGTGTTACAAAGAACCTTATACCTGTACATCTAGAAGACAGATGAAATTTACAAACGCTTCATCTCCTACCCATGTTATGTAAATATGACAGCTCTCAAGAATGAAGACTTAAGAGTGTGTGACCCCAAATCTCACTTTGCCTCTATCACTATACTCATATTCATAATGAACAGATCATAGATTACACGAAATGTGACGCACGTAATGCCGTACGTCTAGAATTCTCAGCAGCTTAGTTCGCCACTGTTATTAAATAAAAGGAGGTTCAAGCTGCTTCAGAATTAAATTATGGACAACACCAGTGAAAATTACAATGTTTCAAAGTTCCAAGAAATACTGAAGAGAGGTAGAGAGATATACATCAATACAGTGTAATATGTTTAAGAAAAGGTCTTCTTCCTGCATCTGCAAATTCACTATTAAAGATTCCTGTAAAATATTATTTTAAAGACATAGTGTTAGAAAACTGGGGGCACACGGTAGCATAGTTGGTTGAGGGGCTGCGCTACAAGCTGGAAGGTCGCAGGTTCAAGTCCCGATGAGGTCACTGGATTTTTTCAATTGACCTAATCCTTCCAGCCACACTATGGCCTGGGGTTCACTCAGCCTCTAACAGAAATGAGTACCAGGAATTAATTAAATAATTTTCCTGGGGAGTAAAGCATGGCCAGCACATAAGGCTGACAACCTTACCACCATTTTTGAGCCAATTGTCTAGATAATGTGGGAACCTCAACGTCTCACAACCCTATGGGCTTTCACGACCAGGTACAGGGATAGCTTTACTTTACTTTTAGTGTTAGAAAACTTCTTACTTCAACTACACCAGCAGAATATCTGAGACTGAAATGTCATGAGCCACATTATATTGAGACTGCACTCTATTTAAATATTTCAGGAGAACTATGGACATATTTAAGAGTATAAATGAGGAAGTAACATTCCTATGACAGATAGCATGTCCAGAAACATGGGTATCTATGTGGAAGAAGTGGGTTTGGTTGAGATAATGGAAATACACCTAAGTCATATCTCTTCAACTGAATTTTTGTGAGGCAATTTATTGTGTGACCCTCATATCAGATTCACAGTAATGTCATGCAACTTTATGACTAAAAGTCACATATAAAATATACTCAGAATTACAGATCACAAATTCACAAGGACTGACAGTCTAACTCTTTCATATGCCCATGCTGGAATTTTGCATTTCTTCAAAATATTTACTTTCATACATATTTTACTGTAATATCCATATATAAAGAAATGTACAGCAAATTAATTTTATATCTGCATTCAATAAAGATATTTTTTAATATTATCCACAAGATTCTTACTACACACAAAAAAAGTCAGTCCAAGTGTACGGAAATCCTTACATAAGGTTTTTGCACAGATTACTAAGTTTATGCTATATGACGATTTGCACAATTTTTATCTTTGTAGGGCATATCCTGTTACCACAGAATAAGCAAACAAGAAAATCAATTCATCTTGCAAATATGTAGATACTTCTATCACACTTCTGTCAGAGATATATTCCCAAGTATATTTTGCCTTTTAATGAATCATTACATGCGCATGAATTAGGTGATGTGCAGTGTTTGTTTGCTGCAATTTCAGTCAGTGCATATAATACACATATTTTTAGAGTTGCCAGTAGTTCAGTCCTTATGCAACAACTACAAATGGATAGCACATTGACAAATATCATGCTACAGTCAATCTCCATTCCATTAACTATGTTACAACAATCATTATGACTTACTTGTAAGTCATCTCAAGAGACCCATAACAAAGCTCAACATACCATTCTTGTAGCAAGTATCAGCAACCCTAAAAATTGGCATTATTCAACATTTTTTCAAACTTTATCAATCAGCACTGAGAAAATTCAAGTGATGCCTCTGCTATAAACAGATACTGTTAACGTAGTATTATATAAATAGATACATCTCCACACATATCCCTCCATCCACTGCAACTACCAAAACCTTCCTTTACGTTTCTTGTATCGAATCTGAAGTTCAAAATCCAACCTGAAAATAATGAAAGGAGTTATGTGACTAATAATGCTTTTAACATAACCTAAAGGGTTATCGTATGTGATGTTGAGGAACACAAGTGTTCTTCCATTTCTAATAAAGTCCATGGGATAAATATTCTCCATTTTGGAAAAATAAGAAAGGTCTTTTGTATCATATATTTTAATACAAGTTAATGTATTTCACTCTTTTTAATTTGGATGAAAATTAACAAGATGGCTCTCTGAGTAAATCTTGGCTGGACTTCCCAACAGAAGCAGAAATGTCTGGTTGAAAGGTCTCAGTACTCAGACTGAAAAGTGAACTGTAAGCTCTCTCTAAAGGCGCGTCCACATTACTCGTGCTTGTGCTCATGTGACTTGCTATGCTCGCGAGTAATGTGTTCAATATGACAAGTCACGAGACAAGCAAATTTAAAATTTTTAATTTAAAAACTATAGCCAATAAATTAAAATATGACTACAGCCTATACCCACTACGAGTAAATACACGGATCCTCACGCGCCAAAGCCTGGCAAGCAACTGAAGTAGTGTGGATGAAGATTTACAAGCACAAGTAAAAGCCAGACGAGCACAAGCACGAGTAATGTGGACGCACCTTAAGGCTCTAATCTATGCTAAGAGAAAAGAAAGCTCTACAACATGAACGAACAGCATGAAGGAGACTGCCATTATTATAAAATCACAGAGAAATTTTCTGGCGTTGAAGCATTATTTATAAGCTGGCTTCTTACTTCTACTTTTTGGGCTGAAAATGGAGAACAGACATATTTTACCATCCATCAAAATGTTGTTTCCATAAAACGCTTGAAAATAACCTCCACCAACACCCTCTCTAGTGATGAATTGTGCACAAAGGTTGAGATCATGGGAAATGTTACACTTTATAGACGCTTCTCAAACTTACCTGAATCATACAAAACTTTCATCACGCAGACTGATGAGCTAACAGAAACTCATGATTTGTAATTTAACTTGTCTCATTTTGGTCCTTGACACTATTAATTACAGTACAAACAACACAGCACACACATGAACTACACTACTAATAATAAGAACATAAAATCAAGAGAAATAAACGACATCTCCCACCATCAGGAGGATAACAACATGACCCAATGTCGGCCCAAGATATTTTAATATAATAACTAATTATTTACATGGAAATTTCAATACAATTTTAAATACATTGGGAGGCTACTGTATGGAAAAGTGAACACCATATTGCGTGCAGTGAAAAACCCCAGTGAGAATAACCAGGAAATACACTAAAAGAAACTCATCATAAGTAAATATACACTTCAAGAAGCGCCATTGTGAGTGCCTAAGACAAACATCAAAACCAACCGTGATAACAAAATTTATATAGAGAGCATTAGTCATATCTAAAGTGCATATTGTTAAAATATTGTAACGTGTTTTGCGTTACTGAAGACGCCGTAGAGATGGTTAATTGGTTTATTTAACAATCTACAAATAACGGCTACAATTAATTATCACACAGTTGCGGGGTTTCACACTTTATAACCCTAATCGCATTAATCTGTTAACACTGCTGCGGGGTTTCACACTTTATAACCCTATGCGCAAATCAGTTCACTCTGTCTTCAGTAGTCTACACGTTGACAGTAGGGGAGCTAGGTATCGCTGTATCACACGCTCCCAATTACACAATTACACAATTACACACACGTCCGGATCTTCTTTCCGCGACGGCTGCTATACTCCAACTTGTAGTCGGCTGGCTGTTACTTTATAACTCGGAATGTCTTCGGCGGTAGCCACACTGGAACTCGAACTCGAACTGATCGATACGCACTGTGCATCCACTTATATAGCTGCAGTGCTTGCCTGTGGCGTAATGAGTGCCACGTCACAGTAGGACGTTGATTACGGTTACGTTATCGTTGCGCGTTACGTCACCGCGTGACGTCACCGCGGAGGGGAGTGGCAGGGAGCGCTACGTTACCGTGGAGAGGAGGGTGGAGGGGGGGTTCTCAGTCGCGCAACATGTTACAATATCTTATGTGACAGTGTTTCCTTATGGTAGTGGTGCACCTCTGAGGATGATTCTTTTGAATCGAGACATGTAGGGTGAATGAGGACTGAAGTGTTGTAAACTCGTATGTCACACTGGACTGAACTTTTCATTATCTGCTCTGTCATGATTTGTTATTTGTACATACTGTCACGATTCAGTGACTAGTAAATGTACTGAACACCTATAAATCATAACTACAAGTAATTATAATGTTCTCACTAATTCATGCACTCTGCTTCTCATTATAACACAAGGAAAATGTTCTATGTCTTCATTGGTCATTGCCTGGTAACAGATCCCAATAATGTCCTCTTCTGCACACGTTGTTACTGTTTGGCGACTGTCTCACAACTACCTCAACTGCCAACTCTCAACTATTTCGACTAACGCATGATGGTGACTAACCCACAACTGCAACAAGCGGTCAAAGTCAACATTACTTTACAACTGGCAGTTTACCGCTAATCAGCTAGTCTTGGCAACAAGCCCCTTGAGACTCATGACAAGAGATTCTTTTTTCAAGTGAACCCTTGCAGTAATAATCCTTATGTAACATTCTTTGTGATGAGAAGATGGGTTTGTCTCTTATGGATATGCTTGACCTTTCATCAAGTACATATTTTGCATATACAGTATGTTACTGAAAACTCTTCCTTTTGCATTACATACAAGTCCTTTGTCAGTACAGGCTTTACAGAGCAGATCATGCCTTCGCTGGTCCTCGTTACATAGCCTCAGGCCGGACTCAACAGAAAACACTGCTTCCAACAGTTCCTCTATCATTGTATGTGTAACCGCTGTTGCAATCATGTTTACTAGCTGTTGCATAGCAACAGATCCCTGTTTAATGGTGTCCTGATGTGTTTACTGTGCTGTAACTTAGCAGTGGCTGGTTCTTTCAGTCATCATGTCACAATATTTTATGGCTTTCACCCAGGGTATATATACAAATTATTGTAAGCCATAAGCACTCAAATGAAATTACACACAGACATACAGACATATGTACAAAATATTCATGAACACAACCACTGAATTCATGAAGTTCCAAACAGCTAAAACAGCACTTGGATTGGGTACATATTTACCATAAACTGAGAAAAAGAAATAAGACAAAAGAGAATCAACACAGTAATGAAAGCATGCAATTATATGTAAAATATATAGCACAATATACATATCGTACCTTATTTAAGGGTTGCTACAGCAATGCTTGTGTTAGTTGCCCTGCTCCATGCTCTGTCTGATCTGATCGTACCTTCATATTGACGGCAAAGAACCCAAGTATTAGTAGGAGCACACTAAAGCTATTCTACCACTGAAATGTGTGCGACACAACATAATACAAACTTCACAATCATGTTAACTCAACAGCAAACATTTTCTTTGCGGGATTCAAAGTCCTCTCAGTGGCAGTTATGAAGAGTTCTATCTTCTGGAATATAATGCTGTGTAGTGAGTTGAAAAATCAACTGACGTTTAGGAGGAAGATATCGCCTCCATCTTCAGGGTAAAAGAGTGAGCCAAGCAAGAAATCAGCATGAAGTAAGCAGCAAGCAGAGCTTTGCTTGCTACCCACTGATGAAGCTGGAGGAAATATGTTTTCTGAGGCCCTCAAATTACAATGTGCACAAAAGACTCATTAGCCATCCTCCAGAATGTGACAACATACAAGTATCTAACAGAAAAATACCAGCATTCTGGAGGAACCTGCTGCCTCAATCTTCACAGTAAAAGAGTTTTGTTCCCTTCTGTCCTAAAGGAGGAGGCAGCAGGCTCCTGTAAAATGGTGGTACGTTTTTACAAGACAACAAGGAATCATATTCTAGAAGACAGCAATCTTCATACTCCCAACCACAGGAACTTCAGATCTCAAATTAGCCATGACTTGTATTAGGGGACCCAATGCTTTTTCTACCTCACACCCTACTACCTGGCAAATAAATGCTGCTTGCATCACCCACCTGTACCTTAAACAGAAATGCGTTCTAAAACCAAATATACTTATGATGTTGGTGGGAACAATCCCCAAATTTCACTGGAACACCAGTGGAAAGAAGAATCTGATGTGTAGATTAGGAAGTTAATGAGAAAATTAGAACATCTGTGTGAAGGACTGTGTGGAACATGCAGTGAAGTTTGTACTTCAAGATTCTATTAAATACACAAGATGTATCTTTGTGTGTTTACTTATGTTACACAAGAATTATGAAGAAAAAAATCACAATTACTGGATCCAGTGAGTGGTTGAGGTGCTACGCTACAAGCCGGAAGGTTGCGGGTTCAAATCCCGATGAGGTCATTGGATTTTTTTCAGTTGACCTAATCCTTCCAGCCGCACTAGGCCCTGGGGTTTACTCAGCGTCTAACAGAAACGAGTACCAGGAATTAATTAAGTAATTTTCCTGGGGAGTAAAGCACAGCCGGCGTGTAACGCTGACAACCTTACCGCCATCTTTGAGCCGATTGTCTAGATAATGTGGGACCCTTAACGTCTCACAACCCTATCGGCCTTCACGGCCTGGTACAGGGATAGCTTTACTTTTACATATTCTTAAAGGAAATATCCCATTCAATTCACCAGCTCAAATATCTGAACATCTTTGCATGTTTATGCACCCTCTTCACAATGTGTATAAATTGAATGCACACAGTAATGATCAAGTGTGCATACCTGCACATTTCTACTTTTGAACCACTACATGAATTTCAATGAAATCTGTTATTACATATCCTTACAAAGTGTTGTGGAGCCATTTCAATTTTCATAAAGATTGATATTATTATTAGAGTGTACTTTCATAAAGGAGTTCTTTGCAAAGAACACAAAGAACTCTAGTCTGATATAGACTGCACCTTTCCAATCTTGTTAGTAATTTACAGGGCAAAGAAACAGAGGTTTTCCTGAGTATTGACGGAAATTAAATTCCAGTGTTGTTGTAATGTAGTTTTTTGAGATCATATAAAAACAAAGAATATGGATATAACCAAGAATCCACAGAAGTATGGTAATGAGAAAGAGTAACATTTATAAAACCAGGTCTAAGATTACAAAAACTGAATTTTATAATGAAATATGTATTAACAGATTCCCATTATACTTAACTCATCCCAACTCTTAAACACAATTATGCAGGTTATGATACTGAAGAGAAAAAATAAAAAGAGAATTAAAAAAGGTTGAACAAGAGGTGGAAGATAAGAAGAGAATGGAAAAGCAGAAAAGAGGTAGAAAAAGAACAGACAGACCAGGAAGATGAGAAGAAAAGACAGAAAAAAGAATGGAAGATGAGGGCCGAGAAGGAATGGGGAAAAGGAGATGGAAGCAGATAAGAAGGATGAAGAGAAATATGAGATAATGGAAAAGAGAGAAAGCTTCTCCTGATAAACTGGATTCTGGAAGTCCGATAAAGTTCATCTGTGAAATGATCATGAAAGACGGTATACGAAACCAGCAGCCAGGATGATATGAATACTGCAAACTTATCCTTCATACAAGACATGTTAATTAATGCACAATACCAAGAACTCTGACAATATGAGTTACAGAGGACAGGTTTCATGTAACACACATTCACAGTACATGACCCTTCTTCAGAATATGTATCTTTCAGTAGAGATGATAAAGTGCACTTACATTTGTCATGTACAAAACTATCTCCACAAGTTACATACACTACACAACAGTAAACAAGGATCAGAGAACGAATGATGTAGTGGTTAGTAACCATTACAAACAGACGAAACTAATGTTGACAATGATGTATAACAGGATGAAACTGACTTGTGAGCTGTACAGTCCCCCCCCCCCAAAAAAAACCCATATTCCTACTTCAATTTAACTAACTAAAGAACCAACACCATGAAGCAGAGGCCTTCCTGATATGCTAATGCTTGCTCATCTAGCCACGAAATACTCTGACTTTTAGAAAACCTGAAGGTTTATCACTGAGTTCATGAGAACCCACCACCAGTCCCTGCCCTGAGCCAGATGAATCCCATGACAAATCTCATATTAATTTTACATTGTGGAGGTCATTCTAAATAATTCGTCCAAGTCTCATGCTCTGTGTGACATTTCATAATATCCTGGCTTTTCTCAGTCATAAGCTGTTAGCCACCACACAATCCTCAAGCTAGAAGACCATCCCTTGTCATTTGTCCACAACTTCTTACTCAATATTTTTGGAGATACCCTCCATCCACAACCTGAGGGTGCAACATGCTGTGATGACAAGGATCCCACTTAATGTGTATTATATTTCTCTTTCAAAACTTTCAGTGACAGGAACAGTAACATTTGATAAGGCAAAAATAACTTCCCTCTAGGAGAGACAGTCAGGAAGTAAGAGAACTGAAGGAGCATATTGTATCCCAAGGCAGAACTGGTCCAAAGGGATAAGCAGTTTCCACATCTGCTACAACCTTCACAGTATAAAATGCAACATCAGAATAAAGCATGAATTAGTTAAATATAAAAATACTCACTGTTTCACTCTGTCAGGAATGCTAGCTTGCTCCAGTGGTACAACTTCTGCCAACTCTGCTAAAGTGTCCACAAAATTCAGCTTACGACTAAACTTGGAACTTTATAAACAAAACAAAAAATAAGTATATCAGCAAAACCATCACTGCATATGTAGTGAAACGTCAGGACAAATCAAAGTCACATTTGTTCACTCCAATCAAATACCATTCACATCCTCAATCTGAAGCTCCACTGAAAAGAAATTACTCTCTAGTCTTTTATTCCAGTATCTACCTTTCACATATTTTCCAGCTTCTTTTCAATGTTGATTTTCACATTTGCACATTGTCCTTCATCAAAATTAAACAGCATGTCATAAAAATTTTCACTGAGAGAAACAGATTGAAAATTCTGATGTCACTAAATTTATCACAAATGCACACCAAGAAAAATTATTTATACTTAGGAAATACAATTTTTATTCATCTGAATTACAAAACACAACACTTGTTTCATCTTTCTATTAGGCATATTAAGGGGAAGGAGAAATACTTCATAAACTGAAATAATTAGTGACTTTGTAACGTTTTATTCACATTTCTCTGATTATTTTCTCAACATGTTGGGGTGAATGGAGACATGTTTTAGATTGGTAATTTGTTTTATTAACAACCTACAGGTTGTAACTACAATTAATTATAACACTGTTACTGATTTACACAATTTACAATTACTACACACTGATCTCTTCAGTCTATCTGCAGTATTCTTCACAGGTTTATAACATGGGAACTATAAGTCTCCCTACATCACACACTCCCAATACCACTACACTATAGCACAGGTAGTGTCTTCAAATCACATGCTAAATCCTCACAGGCCAACCTCTTGTATCCTTCTGTACTCTTAGTTCCAGTTTGCTCTCAATTATTCTTCACAATTCACGCTCCCTCTCGTCCTTGGACTCTCCACTTTATCACTGTCACTTAAAAAACTCAAACACCCTCAAATACTCTGAAACACAATCCAGTACTGCTGTTGTTATTCTCATTATATAGCCTCAGCACTGACCACGCACAGAAAACAGCCTATATTCTTGGAACGTATTTACTGAACAAATGCATAGCAAACGGTCACAGCATCAACCACACACAAAATGTCATACTCTTATACTGTTGGCCACGTGTGTGTTGCAGGCGTTGTGTAGCAGCGGGTCTCATGCCAAATGGATCCTTCCTTAGTGCTTTTCATCTCACATTGCTTAACAGTGTATCACCTGTTCTTTTCTGAGGGTTCCTGCTCGTGGCGTCTTCATGTGCTTCAGTCATTCCTGCAGTGATCACACTCCAAATACTACATCTGCTCCCTCCTTAAGGGCAGCTCATCCTAAGTGGTTTTCTGCTAACATGCCAGGAGATTCAGATGTATCACAATTTTTTTTTTTCAAATTGGTACCATCCCACTTCTGACACCAATTGTCCAGTGTAGGATGGTACGTGTGACAAAATGACGGGTTCTACTTTGGATGATTGGATTTACTAACACTTTGGTTATACACACTCTCCTAATCACACTTAAATTACAGCATTATCACTGATTTACACACTTTACATTTCACCACTGCACACAAACTATGATTCCCAGTCTTCACTGTATGTCTCCTAGCAACGGATCTCAAAACAGAAACTGTCGCTTGAAATCACTATAAATAATACACATAAAATCTTCCAATCGCATTTTAAGTCCTCATAGGCTGACCTTTTGTAACCTTCTGTACTCCTGGTTCCAATTCGCTCTCAATCTTCACAATTCATGCTCCATTCCCACCTGGATTCTCCACTTTATCACTGTCACTTAAACACTACTAAACCTGTTAGTCAAAGTCAAAGTCACATTGCGACTGACGATCAGTCAGTTAGTAAGTCTTGGTATCGAGCACTCTCCTGGGGCTCATGACCAGATATTTATTGCTCCTCGACTGTTACGGTCTTGTTTCTGTGGGGCGCCCTCTCTGACGAGAGGATGGGTCTGTCTTTTGTATATGCTGCTGGCCCTTGCCAGCGCAGTGTTTCTCGGGTCCTAGTCCCTTGGGACTTGCGACCAGTAAAATATGGTCACAAGTCCCCCCGAACCTGTTATATTTGTAACTGTCTTTACATAGTCTCTGCACAGACCATGCAGAAAACAGCCTATATTGTTGGTATGTGTTTACCGAGCAATTGCATAGCAACGGTCACAGCGCTGATGACATAGAAAACGCCGTACTCCTTCCCATTGTTGACTTGCATGTATTAGGTTGCAAGGTGTTTAATGGTCAGTTACCTTACAATGCTCTGTCCATCCACATTACATTAATATTCCACATCTCAACAACCTAATGTATAAAATAAGGATTTTTCATTACATAATACAGGGTTATTCAAAAAGAATGAACCGATTTCATGACACATTGGTTTAGTTCTCAAGTATCGTCATGGAATGAGTCTGTGACCATTTGAAAGAAGAGTTATCTAAGTTGTGAATGGCTGCCACAGGGGCGATGAACGTTCTTCCAGCAACGTTCAGTTGTTCGTTTACCCTCGGAATGGCGACTCCTCAGCAAAAGGCGTTCTGCGTTCTCGAGTTCGTGAAAACAAATTTGGTTGTCATGGTGCAGCATGCTTTTCGAAGGCAATTCAGCATTAGTCCACCCTGTCCTAAGAACATTTGATGGTGGTTTCGACAGTTTTAAGAGAGTGGGTGTCTGTGTAAAGGAAAAAGTCCAGGACGACCATGAGTCTCGGAGGAACAAGTGGCGAGAATCCGTGCTGCGTTTGAGAGGAGCCCGCGGAAGTCAACAAATCGAGCTAGCCATGAGCTTGCGATCCCTTAATCCACTGTCTGGTGTGTGCTAACAGTATGTCTACATTTGAAACCATACAGACTGCAGCTCGTTCAGGCACTTACCAATGACAACAAAAGGAAGCGGATGGAATTTTGTGATTCGATGCTGAAGATGATGGAAGACGAAACCTTCATTTCGCGTTTAATTTTTAGTGATGAAGCGACTTTTCACTTGAGTGGCATAGTCAATCGTCACAATGTGTGTATTTGGAGAACAGAGCACCCACATGAAACAGTTGAGCACGAAAGAGATTCCCCTAAGGTGAATGTCTTCTGTGCTGTGTCTCAGGACAAGGTTTATGGTCCCTTTTTCTTTGAAGGAAACACCGTTACAGGACAAACCTATCTTGATATGCTCCAAAACTGGCTCCTCACTTCACTGCAAGCAGATTCGCATGACTTCATTTTTCAACAAGATGGAGCACTGCTCCATTGGCACCTGATGGTTCGAGCTTTAGTAAATGAAAAAGTACCCCAGCGATGGATTGGGCGGAAAGGGGCCAAAGACCTTGCTCTTTGTGCTTGGCCTGCGAGATCCCCAGACCTCACTATGGGTGATTTCTTCTTGTGGGGATATGTAAAAGATTATGTTTATGTTCCACTGCTACCCACTAACCTCAATGACCTTAAACATCGAATAACAACAGCGATTAACTCAGTGCATTGTGATATGCTGATACGCGCCCGGGAGGAATTCTCTTATCGCATTGATGTTGCCCGTGCTGCAGGTGGTGGCCACACTGAACACTTGTAAGACAGGAAATAAAAGCTGATTGTGAGTAGAATACTTGTGACTTGGCTGGAGTTTTGTATTACTGTCCTTTAATAAAATATTGCGTAATAAAATCTGTTCATTCTTTCTGAATAATCCTGTATTATATTTCAGCATTCTGTTGCATTGAGGTATGACTTACAGTTTTGTTTTCTGCCTACAATGCAACAATATTAATTTAACAACATCAATTCACACTTAGTCCACTAAATGTTTGTTAAATGCTTAAAATGTCATTAAAATTATTAAAACATATGCACATTCAGTGTTTATGCTACATGTCTCAGGTGCACAGAGCCATCTTCAGGCAACACATCTTTTAAAGGAGTCTATTGCACAGTGTACTTGGTCAAGTAGTATTCATTAAGGCATGTCATCATTGTTATTAATAATTTTTTTGAATACTGATGTTGTAGCATGATTTTATAGGATGATCTTCTTCCTATCTTATATACTGTGGCTGCTTTTGTGTTTCACTGGGTGTGTCACTCTCATAGTTGTATCTAGCGTTACTTTGTGTTCCTTGTAATATGTAAGATACAAAGCAAATCATCCTACAACATCAGAATTCAAAAATTAATAACAACAATGACATGCCTTAATGAACACTATTTGGCCAAGTGCACAGTGCTGTAGTCTCCTTAAAAAAAACGCGTTGCCTGAAGATGGCTCTATGCAGCTGCAACATGTAGCATAAACACTGAATGTATATATATTTTAATAATTTCATTACATGTTTTACTCTGAGCTACAGAAAATCTGATCTGTAAGATGATACTCTGGCAGATGTAAAGCACAGAGTTGAGGAGATGACACAAAGTTAGAAACACTGTTGGCTACCAAAAATTATACAACTGTCCACATTTCTGGACTTTCTGTGTGTAACTGTTAATAGTTCTACGGGAAATTTGCCTCATATCTGGGAGGGGCTCAGTTTCAGTCACATGGGACACCAGCTATCCTGAGGTCTTCTGTGGCTTTCCTCAGTCCCTCTAGGCAAATGTTGGGAAAGTACCTCCATCAGGACATGGCCACTTTCTTCCAAATCCTTTTCAGTTCATCACTTATCTATCATAATGTCATCCAACACTACATAGACTCGATACTGAAAAAGCAGCATTCAATAATCTCGAAAAGATTCAGGGTCTTATTATCACAAATGAAAATTCAATCTGAAATATCGGATTATAAATGACTGATCCTATCTTTCTGGAAAAGTGAACATCATGATGAAATGGTTATCACTGCTGCTCTCTACAGCAGAAATCCCATTCAGTGTTCTTCAATTTTAAGTTGTCACCCCTTTAACCTTTAAACGACTAAAGACACCGTATGTCGTCGCAGATATAAAGGCAGCGGTACGAATGACGCCATGTGGTGTCGCACAGTCCGCGTGTGCGGACGTTATTTTAAAATACATGTTTAAGGTAGAAAATAATGTCCTACTTATATAATTTTTGGCCACCATCTGCATGGAGTGTCTGTCTTCCCACCTGCGTCATCTGCTGGAATGTTGCCTTCGTGTGGAATTCTAAAAAAAATCCGGAAGTGCCGAGTCCGATTTCGCACTTCACGCACTTTCTCCGGACGATTTTTCGTTTCCCACGCGAAAAGAACACACGACACCTCAATTGCGAAGTAGAGGAATTCGGCCAGTGATGTGGTTTGGCCTTCTATAATCGAGATATCTCCGATTAAACGGCAGGGGTTCGACTCCTGGTCGCACAGTCCGCGCGTGCGAACGTTATATAAAATAATATTTTAACGTAGAAAATGATGTTCTACTTATGTAATTTTTGGCCACCATCTGCATGGAGGGTCTGTCTTCCCACCTGCATCATCTGCCGGAATGTTGCCTTCGTGTGGAATTCTCAAAAAAATCCGGAAATGCAGAGTCCGATTTCGCACTTCAACAACTTTGGTCGGACGGTCTTTCGTTTCCCACGCGAAAAGCACACACGACACCTCAATTGCGAAGTAGAGGAAGTCGGCCAGTGATGTGGTTTGGCCTTCTATAATCGAGATATCTCCCATAAAACGGCAGGGGTTCGAC